AAGACTCTGCCAAAGAATTGTTATTACCCACTTATCTACATTGAGCTGAAGCCTGATTACATGCTCATGTATGGGAGGTTTTAACTCTACAGACCCAAAAATCAACTCAGTTAGCCACTGTGCACATAGAAACCCTCCCCAAAACGAATCCATTCACTGGATCATAAAACATAAATAAGCAGAATCAGACTCAGAATCAGAATAAGGTTTATTGCCAAGTAGGTTTTTGACTTACAAGGAATTTGCCTTTTTGGTGTTTGGTGCACAACACTTCTATGAGAAGCAAGGAAATAAAATGTAGAAATAAAAATATAGAACAGAAAACATAAAACTAAAAAGTACAGTCTTTAAAAATATAGATCTGAGAATAAGCAGATTAGTTTAGTTTTTAATTTTCAGATGATGAGCAATAACTGATTAAATATCAAAAGGCAACAAAACAAACTGGGAATAAGCATTTAACAGTTCAGAATGATCAAAAGGCTTACACGTAGTAGCAAAATGTTTAATTTCGTTAGCATAAATTGCATAAATCGTGAAAGCAAAGGAGATTGTGTGATGTATTGAGTTAATCAAAAGCTGGATTATCTGTTCTGACTTCTTCTGCTCATTAAATGTACAGGAAGGGCCGTCCTGTATTGTCCGGTTAAAGAGATAAAACATCATCTCACAATAAGCAAACACAAAGGAATAAAGCGATATTTGTCGATCGGTGGACGTGGGCCTGTCCCGTGGTTTTTAAGCTAGCTTCATTCATCCGTCCTCCAGGGAAAATCCATAACTTTACAAAAACATGCCTGAGCCCCGGCGTCTGGAATGTGTCCAGGCTTTGATAGAGCTCATCGCCTGCCTCTCTGTGTTTGTGGATATGGAATCAATGAGGCAGCATAGCAAAGAAAAACCGATATGTAATTTCCCCCTCAGACACCTAGCAGGACGCAGCCTCCATGTTACGCCACACTTTCAATTTAAAACCAGGAGTGTGGTTTTCTGAGGGAAAACTCCACAGACTCTAATGCTCTAAAGTGTTTGTTTCACTCCGAAAGTCTCTGTAACTGGAAGCAAACGGCTAGCACGATAAACATCCATCCATCCATTATCTTTACCCCTTATCCCCTAATATGGTCATGGGGGGCGGCGCCTATCCCAGTAGCCAATGGGGAGAGGCGGGCTCCCCCTGGACACAGAGACACACAAGGACCCACAACCACACACACTCACACTAAGGGCAGTTTGGAGTCCAACAACCTAACATGCAGGTTTTTGGAGGGTGGGAGGAAGCCGGA